GCTACTAAAGGTAGGTAGTTAAAATTAGAAACACCACAGTATGAATATTAGCCAATGACTACAACAAATATTTTTAACAAATCGAGGAGCTGAAGAGACAGCTACACTACACGAATTGCTCTTTAGCTGCTATCACCTTGGCTGCACTAGGCACATGTCTGCTACTAAACTGGTACTGCTCTTCATATCTACATCACTTGGCCATTTATCATTAGAAACCATTCAGAGGAGACAAACAAAAGAAAAAATCCAGAAGTTTCGGCTAATAAGCACAAGTCCTGCCTCGTCATGAGGCGCATGTAGACAGTGTTCAAATGTCTGCAAACGTTCAGCAGATCTCTTATTTGTGTCGTACAAAGAATATATTTACTATGGCTGGTCCAAATACACACAAATAGTTTAGAGCTGCTTTTAACAATGCCAAATATGTCTGGCATGATTCTCACTTTTTGTTTTGTTCTTTTTGGTAAATAAACTTGCCTTCACAAATTTCCCATACTTGTTTACTATACTTAGGTTATTTTATTCCCCAAGTCATGGTATAAAAAAGAAAAGACAATGATGTAGACGTATTTTTTAAAAATTGTATTATAAAATGTTTTAAATGAATAAAATTTCTATAAAATAGTAGTTGTATTAGTGGCATTTGTCCTATAACTAGAAGACGAACAATCTTATTTTAGTGCTAAACAGTATGAAGTGCAGTAGGTAGGATGAGGAACTTAATAACACAATGACAAGAATAATTTCTGCTCTCATTCTTCCTGTAATAATCTGCTTTGATCAGTTTAATTTCTGGAACAAGCTGCAGGTAAGCTGGGGTACTTATTCCAGACAAGGGAGCCGATAGGAGGAATGTAAGTGGACACTGTAGCTAAAGCTCTTTAAGCCCAGCTGTGTACAGAGTACTCTATCTCCCATTTCCTGTCCCTTTCACCTGGGGATAATTCCTCAGAATTATTACTAGGGACTTCAAATTGAATTACAATTAAACAAGCTGGGCTAAAATTGTATTAATATTTTGATACATTTTATTTTATTTTCCTAACTTTGTGATGACAAGTTCTTAAGAATACAAGAAAAGAATATTTCTAGAAAAACAGTTCTTCATTCAAAGTGAATTGTTTTCTCTGTTTTCCTTTGTTTCTTCTTGTTGGTTATTTGTTCTTCTTTTATTTTGGTGGTGGTTTTGGGGATCAAACTCATGGCTTTACACATAGCAGGCAAGTACTCTATGACAGAGCTACATGACCAGACCCAATATTTAATTTTCATGAACAACTATAAACAAGAAGTAAAACAGTTCTCCAATGTGTTCGAGTGTGTGAATCTTGGTTCTTATTTTCACAGCTTGTGTGTGCATCTCCTAAGGTGTTGTGCAAAGTTGAAACCAGCTGTGTCACTAAGAAACCAGCCATAAGACTTACTCCTTATACAACTTTTGGGGTTATAAAGAAACCAAGCTCACCCCCCCCCATCACCTGCCCTCTGAGTCCTCCTCTATCCCATAGGAACTTAGTCTCTTGGTGAAAACCCAGGGGCCCCTACTTCTTCCCTGCCACCTCTTTCAGTCTTTCCAGGCCATCTCCATTCTTTTGTGACTTGCCTACATGACCAATCTCTACTTGAAACCCACAGCTGCAATACTAAATGGAGATTCAGACCATATTAGCACTCTACCCTCACCAGAGAAGCTTCTTCTTGAAGGAGATGGTAATCAACACACAAACTCAAAACTAGACTTTGGCAAACTTGGCCCCAAATGGGATGTCTTCATCAAACCCTCCCAGCTTCAAGGCTCTGGGATCTATAAGGAAGATGAGGTAGAAAGATTCTAAGAACCAGCCCACAGAGGAAGAGGATCCAGGCAGTTCTGATGGGACCTGTAGGGGAAGAGGACTTCCCCTATCAGTGGATTTGGGAAGAGAGATAGGGGAGGAAGAGAGAGAGAGAGGATGGGACCAGGAAAAGATGAGGGAGGGGGCTACAACCAGGATAGAAAGTAAATAAATTGTAAATTGTAATAATAATGATGATGAAAAAAATTCTATGAGCCAGATGATGAAAAGATTCTATGAGCCAGAGATGGTGAATAATGCTGAGGAAACAGCATCTCCCAACACAACAGGACTGATACAGATATGACACAGAGCCTGTGATAGCACCCATAAGAGCTATACAGGCTCAAACCAGACAAAATCCCAACACTCAGAAGGTGAAGTCTTGCCCCTACCTCAAAAGCTTTCTCTTTTTTCCTTTTTAAATTTCAATTTATTTACTTTATGCCCCGAGGGCATAGAAGGGCATAGAAGGAAGGGACTTCTCCTCCCAGTCTCCCTACTTCTCAAACCTTCCCCCAGAAAAGGGGAGTACCCTCATCCCTGTATCAACCATTCCCAGTACATCAAGTCACGCCAGGACTAAGCATATTCTCATTCTCTGAGGCCAGGCAAGGCAGTGCTGTCCAGGGAAAGTGATCCAAAAGCAGGCAATAGAGTCCATGTCTTCTTGCCACATATGAAGACCAAGCTGCCCTGTGGCCACATATGTGCAGGGGGCCTAGGTCCAGATCATGCATGCTACTTAGTTGATGTCAGTCTCTGAAAGTACCCACAAGACTGGGTTAGTTTCTCTGTTGGTCTTCTTTTAAAGTTCCTGTCCCCTCCAGATCCTTCCATCTTTCCTCCAATACTTCCACAGGATCCCTGGAGCTCACTTAAAGAAATGATCAATGTCCTTAGCCTTCAGAGATAGGCAAGTCAAAATGACTCTAAGATTCTATCTTATACCAGTCAGAATGACTAAGATAAAAAACTCAAGTGATAGCACACGCTATTGAGGATGTGAAGAAAGGAGAAAACTTCACCATTGTGAGTAGGAAGGCAAATTTGTACAACCTCTCTGGAAACCAATCTGGTGTTTTCTAAGAAAACTGGGAGTAGTTCTACCTCAACACCCAGCTATACCACGCTTAGGCATATACTGAAAAGATGTTCCACCATACAAGGATATTTGCTCAACTATGTTCATAGCGGCTTTATTTGTAATTGCCAGAATATGGAAACAACCTAGATGTCTCCCAATCAAAGAATGGTTACAGACATTGTGGTACATTTACATAATGGAATACTACTCAGTTATTAAAAAAATCATGAAATTTGCAGGCAAATGGATGAAACTAGAAAGATCATCCCAAGTGAGGTAACCCAGACTCAGAAAGATACATATTATGTACTTACTTATATGTTGCTATTAGACCTATAGTACATGATAACCATACCAAAATCCACAGACCTGAAGAAGCTAAGAAACAAGAAGGGCCCACAGGCTGATGCTAGAATGTCACTCAGAAGGGAAAATAGAATAGACAGCAGAAGTGGATGAAGAGAGGGAACTGGGCAGGAGATGGAGTGGGGAGGGAAACAAGGTTGTAGATCAGATATGTGGAGAATGGGGGTGGGAGGTGAGAGGGCTGGGAACAAGAAGGGAAACTGAGGCGGGACATTCTTTACCAAGCTGGAGGCCTGCAACAGGGTAGGCTCCTGGGAGGATATGGGCATGACTCTAGCTGAGACTCTAGCTGAGACAGGGGTGGGGAGAATGAAGACTGAAGTGACTATCTTCTAACCAGGCAGGATTAGTGGAAGGAGGGGAACAATTATCCACCAACAAAACCTATGATCCAAAAATTTCCCTGCCTAAAAGAAGTTCAGGGATAATGAGGGAACAAAGACTGGGGGAAAGTCCAAAAGTTGGCCCAACATGAGACCCACCCCATGGTGATACTCTGCTATGTTTCAGACAGGAGTTTAACTTGACTGTCATCTGGGAGGCTCTAGTCAGCAGCTGATTGAGAAAGATGCTGGGACGTGCAGTAAAAAGCTATTTTCAATTGGTATCTGTAGGAAAAGGAGAAATCAGTTTTCTCCAAACACAGTGTCAATAGAATAGGCATAGCAATCAGACTTGAGGGCAAGTCCTATGCCCAGGAGGAATAGTTTGCAAAAACAAAAACAAATATAAAAACAAACCAAAAGAAAAAAACAATCCATCACACCTTTTTGTGTGTGCACTTCACTGGTGTTTTTTAGTTTCTTTTTTCCCTTTTCCTCCTTCCTTCTTCCCTTCCTTCCTTCCTTCTTTCCTTCCTCTCCCCTACCCCCCGCCATTTGATTGTTGTCTCATTTTGATTTTGAGATAAGTCTTTTTATGTAACACTGGTTATCCTGAAATTCACAATGCAGACCAACCTGGCCTCAAAATCAGAGAGAGCCACTTCCCTCTGCCTCCTGAGTGCTGGGGTTTAAAGGCCTGTGACACCATGCCCAGCTTCTTTTTTGTTAGAGAGAGAGAGGGACAGGGAGAGGAAGGGAGGGGGGGGAGAAATGAAAACATGAAGTTGGGTGGACAGAAAGGTAAGAGGTAAGGAGAATATGGGATGAGTTGGAGACAAAAAAGAATATGATTAAAATATATGTATGAAAAATTTTAATAACAATCAATTAAAACAGAAACCAATCAAAACCTAACTTTTGCCATACAAATATAAACCTCAAATGAGATTATACAAAAATTATTGTTCAGAAATTTAGAGGACTGTAATGTTCTATTGTCTTCACACACAGTACCATTTTCACTTAACAATGGATTACAAGCTAATAGATGCACAGTAAGCCGAAAACACTATGGGTTCTAACTCATTGTAACACATCTGAATGGTCACTTACTAAACACAAACACTATAAAATGATTCCTTTAGATCAGGTGGCCAATGGAAGCTGTGCCTTACCTATAAAATTCAGTCACTAAGAGTAACCCAATAGGATTATTATGAACAATAGAAGATACTCAATATTTATTAGTTTTGATGGTGATTGTCATTATTAATTAACAAATAATTATGAATTATGAATATAGGCCGAAGCAGTGACACTCTATAATGTATAGAAAAGACGCACTCCATTACTTAGACTAAATTGAAGTTGGTATCATTCTCTTACCTCCAAATGCAGATTTTCTGGAGAGATTATTTTGGTGAAAATGATAGCAGGTGCTCCAGTTATTCGTACAGAAAAATCTGTCAAGATGGGGGTCAAAATTGCTCTCCTTTCTTGATGTCTTTGTATGCTAAAAAGATAAAGCAAACAATTGTTAATCATAACAAATTAAAAACAGAAAATTATTAGTCACTTGATATTTTTCAAGTATAATTTCATTTTTGTTTAAATCTGTACTATAAACATGCACAGCAAAATCTCACCATCATTTTGGGAGTGCCTGTTTGGTTTTTATTGTCAGTTCCTTTGGTTCTGTAAGATCTCAAAAAACTGGCAGAAAAAAGAACCTCTGAGAAATTCAAATGAACTTAGGCAGTTTCATATCAATGCCTTTCACTGAATTATGTTTTCTGTTTATAATTCTATTTGTTCTTTCAATATTTCATATCTCTGTTATTAACATCAATGATCTTACTATTTTTGAAATAATTTTTAGTTTCCAATTTTTAATACATTATATGGGCCATTTGACAATGGACATCTACCCCTTCCTCTCACCCCCACCAAATTCTCCCAAGTCTCCCCATGGAGCTCTAGCTGGCTTGGAATTTTTCTTTATAAGACTAGCCTAGCCTTGAGCTTGCAATGAGCTTGCCTTGCGCTTGCCTCTGCTTCCAAGTATGGGGATTATTACAGGTGTGAGCCATGGTGCTCAACTCTTCACTTTTTTTTTTAATGTTTTTTCTTTCTTCTTTCTTTTTTCTTACTTTCTTTCCTTTCTTTTTCTTTCTTTCTTTCTTTCTTTCTTTCTTTCTTTCTTTCTTTCTTTCTTTCTTTCTTTCTTTCTTTCCTTCCTTTCTCTCTCTCTTTCTCTTTCATCTCTTTATAGCCTGATTCAAACCTCCACCTTCCTCTCCTCCCAGCCCTACCCTAATGTCTCCTTTCCTCATTCCCCCCTCCTTCTTCTCAGAGAAGAGGATGCCCCCAAGGGGTACCAACCCACCCTTGGCACTTCAAGTCACAGCAGTGCTGTTTTTACCTTAAGCTCTAAGATTAATTTACGTTTATGAATAATAATATGGACATTAAAGTCCTTTTTATCTATCAAATAGCTTTTCTTTTTGAAACTGAAGGATTCCTCAAAATGAGCATGTAAGATGGAAAGATTATACTCAGCCTATGATACAAATGAGGAAGTGGAGCTCAGTAACTGGATTGGATATTTAATGGATAAAATACTTCCAGAACTTGGCCTGCAGTAAGTTGTGTCCGTCATAGTTTCTGGTCTATTTTAATTCTACTTTATATGTTTTCATCTTTGATTAGTTATTTCTGCTTGACACCTACGACTGCTAGTAATTTAAAGGAAGATGAAACTAGAAAAGACCACTGAGAAACACAACTTTTTCTGATACAGATATTCCAAGTGACTCTCTGCAGTTTTACATTTCACTTTATGAAGTAATACATCACCGTGTTTATGTTTGGCTAGAAGCCACACCTCCAAATTTCCTTTATAATTAATTTAATATTCTCCATAAATAAAACCTTATTATTCCTTATGATAAAATGATTAAGTTGAAAGCAGAAAATTGACATGAGTTGTACCACATGTGAAAATGTAGGTAAAATGAAAGTCTTTCTGCATCTTAAAAAAAAAAAATCAGGACAGTCTAGAGAGCACTAATGTCTTTTGTTAAATTTCCAATGGGCAGTGCTTTATACGGTATCTGCCAAAAAAGCAAATTGGATCATCTGGTTCTGTGACACATAGCTATTGGATTTCAAGAAAGTCAATTTTAAAGAATTAAGAGATCTGGTAAGTAGAGAGCAACAGGAGGAAGCATTAAAATCTGTGACTACGGAGGAAAGGGTTAGATCCTAAGAGACACCATAATTACAGTCTAACAGCTCAAATTCCATAAAATGACAAACGTGAGAAACACAAAAAATGATGTGCTCTAGAAGCGGAGCGCTGAGACACAAGGCACATTAGAGATGCCTTAAATGGAAGCAATGGCAGCAAACCAAGTAGGAGCAAACACTAACTAAAGCACTGTGGGAAAGAAAAAGGTACTTGTTCCTATTATTTATTTTTTTCTCACTTGTGTGATGAATTAAATCAGTGACCCCCAAGTAGAAAAACCCTATTAACACAGCAGGAAAGAAAGAAATCTCAACAAATCAACAGTCATTGTCCTGATGTCTTCTCTTCTATGCTATCACTGATAAACATTTGAAGTAATGATAAACTTTAAAAAAACAATTAAAAATTTTTTAAATCAATAATTTTCAAAGCTGAATACTAAGAGGAAAAAGAAACACTGAAGAAACAGCTGTTAGACAAATTGTCAATGTCTTAGCAGGTAATATATAATGTTCAAAATAAAAAAGGAACCAAATCCCTAAGTATTGGCAGAGGTTCCTGACAAACTTGGGGGTCACGACTGAGATGGTGAACTGCCTTAATAAGGCTAATAAAGTACCAATCCATCTGAAAAGGAAGAACAGGAAGAGCCTCGCTTAGCAAGAACGCACTGAAAGGGGCACAGACCTCCCTAGTAATTTTAATCCTATTAGGGATTTATCCTCTTTATGTGTACTTAATTTATATTATCTAGGAAGTACAGGAATAATCATTTTAAATTATTTATTAGAACAAAACAGCTACAGTTACAAAACAGATTTCATGTTTGTCATGAAAAGCAGTATCAATACAGAAACATCTATCTTGGGTATGTTAAAATTACTAAGTGCCCTAACAACAAGATGACAAAGTGTAGGCATTCCCCAGTACTGTCTGACCTGCTGGCCATGTTCCATTCCAGCGCTGGGTTCTGAGAATTCCTCTCATTCTCTGTTGGCACACCTCCCACGCCACCTCCTTTCTCTGGCTTGAGCTGATCCCACTGGGCAGTACCAATATTGATGGACTGCAGGTCTATTTGGTACTGTCTATCTTCAATTTCTGATCCCGGATCTCGTAGAATTCCTAAGTTCAAGGCTTTCCTGAGAAAACAATAAAAAAAAATACATAGAAAGAAATTATTTGCTTACTAATAGTATCATAACCATGTTTATCCTAAATTGACAATTAAGATGAATGATTATATTAGTTAATGCACTAGGTTAATCACAGATATGATAAAAGTCTTAGCAAGTTACCATACACTGTTTTATAAGGATGGACAAATATGGAGTATGATGATTGTTTTACACTATTCACAGCACTATACTCTTTTTCCAAGTGTTTCTACATATATGATTTTAAGATTGTGATTCTTTCAGTTTCTACTTATGATAATTAAAAAAAAAAAAACTGGGGGGAATCCGAGATAGTGGTGACCAGTGCACACTGTATTCAGAGGAGCTGAAACTCCGAATTGGTGAGTCAAGGGGCTGTGGAACCCAAAACAACGGTACGAGGAGTCCGGGGAGAAGGGGGATAAACCCTGATCTGAGTCCAATAGGACACAGGTCAACCGTGGACAACTCTGTGGACCTCTGCTGGGGAATCGATTCCCGGGCACTTCCCTGTAATGGGCGGAGGCAGCTGTGGAGGTATCCAAGCCTGCAGCAGAGGATGTGGTGGAGGTGCAACCAACAGGGAGGCAACAGTGGAGGGTAACACAACTAGCAGCTGTAGCAGAGGAGGCATCCCGCAGTGCACACAGCCTGCCTGCACACAGTGCTGCCTGCTCCAAGCACAGATCTCCTTCCTTGAGATTTAAGACTGAGAACACTCAACCCCCCACCCCCTGCGGCATTTTCCCCAGGACCACTGATTTCCAACCTTGCCTGAGGGGGAAGCAGCACTTCCCCCTCAGAGAGCAGAGCCAAGCCCAGCCTGCTGAGCTCACAGCTTCTAGCACAAAGCACAAGGCTGGGCACACAGAGTCCACAACAGAGTACTTGTCTCCCCCCTCCCCCTCCCCCCGCCCCCCCTCCCCCGCCCGCAGCGTCAGCCACAGACCTCAGAGTCCAGCCTGCAGAGCCCTCCACAGATTGGAGACCACTGGGTATTCAGGAAACCTGTGTAGGCTCTTTGTACCCGCAATCTGTGCTTGCTAACCCTGCTAGCATCCACATCCCCTCCTGCACTTGCTCCCAACCCCCATATCCCAAGCACCTACACTCTCTAGCACTCCCCTTCAAGACACACTTGCGCACGCCTGCAGACACACACACACACACACACACACACACACACACACACTCCCCCCGCAATAACGAATCTGCGCCAGTGGCTTTCCCTCTCTCAGGTACAACTGAAGCAACAGCACACACTCTTAAACCACTGGACCTCCCTGATCTTTCTGAAGAATACTCCAGACACCAGATAAAGGCAGTTCCAGTCTGAAATTCAGACTCAAGGAAAAAACAGTGAAGATCACATTTTTATAAGCAAATGTCCAAAGGTAGGCGTAAGAACTCACCCCCAAAAAATCAGGACAACATGGCCATATCAGCAACCCCCAAAAGCAATGGATATTTTAATTCAGCGGAAACACAGGAAAATGTCGTTAAAGCTATGCTTATGCAGTTATCAGAGGAACAAAAACAGGAAATGACAGAGCTCTCAAAGAAATAAAGAAGACTATAACTGCCCATGTACAGGAACAATTAGAGACAGATAGAGAAGAAACAAACAAACCAAAATTAGCCACATTCACTCACATGAAGGAAATGGTGCAAAGCATGAAAACAGAATAGAATCTATAAAGAAAATGCAAACAGAGAAAACTCTGGAGCTGGAGAACTTAGAGAAAAGATCAGGAACCACAAAGATAAGCATCACCAAGAGAATACAAGAGATGGAAGAGAGAATCTCAGGTGCTGAAGATACACTTGATGAAATTGATTCCTCCCTCAAAGAAACAGTAAAATCAGAGAAGTCCCAAACACAAAACATCCAAAAAATCAAGGATGCCATGAAAAGACAAAACCTAAGAATAATAGGAATAGATGAAAGAAAAAGAAGACTCCAGGCTCCAAGGACCGGAAAACATTTTTAAGAAAATCATAGAAGAAAATTTTCCCAATTTAAGGAAAGAGATATCCATAAACATACAAGAAGACTACAGAACACCAAATAGACAAGACCAGAAAAGAAATACTTCGCATTACATCACAGTCAAAACACTAAACCTACAAAACAAAGCAAAAATATTAAAGGCAGCAAGGGAAAAAGGTCAAGTAACATATGAAGGTAGACCAATCAGAATTACACCAGACTTCTCAGCAGAAACTAGGAAAGCCACAGGAGCCTGGGCAGTGGTCATGCAGTCTTTAAGGGACCACAGATGCCAACCCAGACTACTATACGCAGCAAAGCTTTCAATCAACATAGATGGAGAAAACAAAATATTCTACGATAAAACTAAATTTAAGCAATATCTACACAGCAACCCCGCCCTACAGAAGATACTAGAAGGAAAACTCCAATCCAATGAAATCAAGTACACCAAAGAAAATATAGGATACAGATAATTTCCCGAAAAAAATTAAAAGAAAAGAAAAGAAAAAAAAAAAAAGCAAGGAATCATAGTAAGACCACCAACTGCACAATAAAAGGAACTAAAAGTCATTGGTCACTAGTATCTGTCAACATCAATGGACTCAACTCTCCAATAAAAAGACACAGACTAACAGAATGGTTGCAGAAACAGGAACCAACATTCTGCTGCATCCAAGAAACAAACCTATGCAAAAAAGATAAATACTACCTCAGAGTAAAGGGCTGGAAAAATGTTTTTTCAAGCAAATGGACCCAGAAAAAAAGCTGGGGTAGTGATCCTAATATCTAATAAAATAGACTTTCAACCAAAATTAATCAAAAAAGATGAAAAGGGGCACTTCCTTCTCATCAAAGGAAAATTCCAACAGGAGGACATCACAATTTTGAACATCTACGGCCCAAATACAAGACCACCTACATTTGTAAATGAAATATTATTAAAGCTGAAATCACACATTGATCCCAACACCTTAATAGTGGGAGACTAACATTCCACTCTCACCAAGGGACAGGTCATCTGGTCAGAAGTAAAACAGGGAAACAAGGGCACTTACAGAGGCCCTAAATCAAATGGACCTAATAGATGTCTACAGAACTTTCCACCCAAAATCAAAAGAGTATACCTTCTTTTCAGCACCTCAAGGAACCTTCTCCAAAATAGACCATATAGTTGGTCACAAAGCAAGCCTCAGCAGATACAAGATTGAAATAATCCCTTGAATCCTATCTGACCATCATGGTCTAAAGCTGGACCCCAACAACAAAAGAAACACCAAAAAGCCTGCACATACATGGAAACTGAACAACTCGCTACTCAATGACAGCTTGGTTAGGGAAGAAATAAAGACAGAAATTAAAGACTTCCTAGAATTCAATGAAAATGAAAGCACAACATACCCAAACTTATGGGACACAATGAAGGCAGTGGAAAATTCATAGCACTGCCTTCAATGTGTCCCATAAGTGCCTTCAAGAAAGAAATTTGAAACATCTCATACAAGCAACTTAATGGCCCAACTGAAAGCCCTAGGGAAAAAAAAAAAAAAGAAGAAGAAGCAGATATACCCAAGAGGAGCAGACGGCTGGAAATAATCAAACTCAGGGCTGAAATCAATCAATTAGAAACAAATAAAACTATTCAAAGAATTAAAGAAACCAAGATCTAGTTCTTTGAGAAAATCAACAAGACAGACAAACCTTTAGCCAAACTAACTAAACTGCAGAGAAAAACTATCCAAATCAGCAAAATCAGAAATGAAAAAGGGGACATAACTACAGACACTGAGGAAATCCAAACAATCATTAGGTCTTACTACAAAAGCCTATGTGCCACAAAATTTGAAAATCTAAAAGAAATGGACAATTTTCTTGATAGATTCCATCTACCTAAATTAAGTCAAGATCAGGTAGAAAGACTGAATAGTCCCATATCCCTCAAGGAAATAGAAGCAGTCATCAAAAGTCTACCTTCCAAAAAAGTCCTGGGTCAGATGGAGTCAGTGCAGAATTCTACCAGACCTTCAAAGATGTGCTAACTGCAATTCTCTCCAAACTATTCCACAAAATAGAAACAGAAGGAACATTACCAAACTCATTCTATGAAGCCACAGTCACCTTGATACCTAAACCACACAAAGACCCAACTAAAAAGAACTTCAGACCTATCTCTCTTATGAACATTGATGCAAAAATATATTCAAGAACACATCAAAGATATCATCCACCATGACCAAGTAGGCTTGATCCCAGGCATGCAAGGGTGGTTCAATATACAGAAATCCATCAATGTGATCCACCACATAAACAAACTGAAGGAGAAAAACCACATGATCATCTCCTTAGATGCCGAAAAAACATTTGACAAAATCCAACACCCATTCATGTTTACAGTCTTGGAGAGATCAGGGATACAAGGCATAGACCTAAACATAGTAAAGGCAATATACAGCAAACCTATAGCCAACATCAAACTCAATGGAGAGAAACTTAAATTAATCCCACTGAAATCAGGGACAAGGCAAGGCTGCCCACTCTCTCCATATCTCTTCAACATAGTACTTGAAGTCCTAGCTAGAGCAATAAGACAACTAAAGGAGATCAAGGGATACAACTCAGAAAGGAAGAAGTCAAAGTATCACTATTTGCAGATGATGTGATAGTATACATGACTGACCCCAAAAATTCAACCAGGGAACTCCTTCAACTGATAAACACTTTCAGCAAAGTGGCAGGATACAAAATCAACTAAAAAAAATCAGAAGCCCTCCTGTATACCAAAGACAAAAGGTCCGAGAAAGAAATTAGGGAAACAACACCCTTCACAATAGCCACTAATAACATAAAGTACCTTGGGGGGATGCTAACCAAGCAAGTGAAAGACCTGTTTGAGAAAAACTTCAAGTCTCTGAAGAATGAAATTGAAGAAGATATAAGAAGATGGAAAGATCTCCCGTGCTCATGGATTGGTAGGATTAACATTGTGAAAATGGCC